TAAAAAACATCCGCCCATGTTTCACGAATTAAGCCATATGTGGATCTGGAAAGCAGACGACAACAGCTTGACTTTGGCTTCAGTGTTCTTGTATAATTTCATTGTTTTCCGATTCAGCAGCATTGATCTGATCCTTCATGACAGCGCAAAGCTATCGTACATCTGGAGCCACCAGCCGCGGTAAAATGGACAGTGAGTTGTGCAGCTCATTAGACACGCAAGCTTTGCAATCAAAGTCCTTTGGCAACTCTGACAAACAGCTTCAGCTTGCTAGGAGCTCGGCCTGGTGCACGGGTAGCCCTCGAGCGGGTGGCATGGTGTCATTTGGGTCTCAGTGAATTATTCATTTCAGAAGGCGCAACTGTCAATGCGCTGATCTTGATCGGAAGTGATGGGTATATCAGTCTCGCTCGCGAGACACCAGAGCCGCGCCGTCTTCAGCAGTCTTCCTCCTATCACGGTGAAGTGGAAGCTAATAATGACGTATCGTCTTCTATTTCTAGCCCTGCTGCGTAAGGTGGATTGTGAAATTGCTTTGAGGAGTTGCAGGCATGTGGATGAAAGCGTTAAATAAATAAATAATAGCTTTTTTATGTCTCAGGTCGCATGAGAAAGAACAATGTGGAATTCAAAATCATCTGTCAGCATTTCCACACTCTTCATATTTCATGATAGACTTTTGCATCTGTTTATACCGTTTCTGCGTTGATTAATATGTTGGTTTTTAGGAGTGGATATTAAAATACTGGCACCAGTAATGGGACAGATCATGTTTCAGTTTTTACAATAATTGCTTATGAATTTCATTAGATATGTGTGTTTCAGTGAAAGTTTCTAGTAATAAAAGTCAAGTACTTAGGACACCTGACTATAGATGCGTCCAGTGTCCAAAATTCACACCAAGTACCAAATATGTAGTTACATTTGTAGAGTAAATAAAACAATGACCATTTGATCTTTAATTTTTTTTAAATAACAAGTTTTGTATAGCTGTGCTGTTTGTTACAAATATATAAATCTTGTAACCTTTTACAATAAGTTTATGCATGTAAACATTAGTTTAACACAATGCATGATCTAACAGAAAACTATTACAGAAGAAGAAAACTATTACAGCATTTGTAATTTTGATTCATTTATATAAATACTAGTGCTGTCAAATGATTAATCGCGATTAATTGCATCCAAAATAAACGTTTTTTCACATAATATATGTGTGTGTACTGTGTATATGTATTATGTATATATAAATACAACCACATGCATGTATATATTTAAGAAAAAATATGTAATGTTTGATATATTAAAGGGGTCCTATTATGCTCTTTTACAAAGTCTTGATTTTGTTTTGGGGGTTTACTAGAACAGACTCTCATACTAGGTTGTTCGAAAAACACATTATTTTCCACATATTTTACATTATTACAACCAATTCATCGCTGCTTCAGCTTTAATTGTAATTGCAATGTCTTCTGGTCCATATCCTTTCCTTAGGAAGGTGTGCTAAGTACTGATTAATGTAACATAAAAATACTATACATATTTATATATTTTGCTATTGCATTGTGGAGTGACACTTTCATAAACTTTTCTATACCCCTCTGATTATATAATGGTAAATATTACAATATCATAGCACAACAAGAGTGATCAGCAATAATGATAAGCCTAATACTCACAATAAAAATAATAAGGTCATATAGATCATAACACAGTCTCGGAGGTAAGAAGTGGATGATCCTTGACCTGAAATGTTTGTCTTTTCATCCTGAAATGCGAGGCAAATGTTGGATCACAATAATTAGGAACCACAGTTTCCACAAATCCTTTCATTTGATTGGGATGTTCTCTTTTATTCTGGAGGGCAAGGGCAGTGACTGTACCATCGAGCGTATTTTGCAGTATTAAACACGTATTTATACCGATTTCATCAGGCTCCGAAAATTCTTCAAAAAGAGCACAAAGAATGGCCTTCTCAGCTGCCATAGTTGCAACTCTTGCGTCATCAGAACAGGGTGTTCAACGCACAACCGTTTCCGTTTAAAAAACGTTTTGCACCGTTTTTGTCGGGGCTGAACGCAGCCCTGGTCTGGAAATGTCACGCCCCTTACCATTGCCGCCTGCGCGCTTCAGTGTAAATATTGTGTCAAAATAGTAGATTAGTAAATACTAATATATTTTAATATAAAGTTGTGCAATAGTGACTTTAATCTACATTAATAAAAGCTGTAAAGTGATCGTTCATTGTTAGTTTTTAATGTCTAATGCATTTGCACAAACATGATTTTTTTATTAATATTATTTTTAATAATACAGCTTCATTGCCATAAAATACTATTTAATACATATTCTCAATTGATTCAATGTTGGCACATGTGGAAAGAATTTAATTTGGGGCACTGAATTTAATGCAGGTTGCATAACATTTATTCAGTTCTTAAGATGACGTGACCATTTTTCAGTGCATTTTTAAGTTCTTGTGGCTGGTTTTATTTTCAAAGAAATCGCTGATTAAGGCTGTAAGTTCTCCTCTCCTCCCCTGTGATTCTTTTCCAGTCAACTGAGTCTCTGAACAGAGTCTGCCAACTGACAGCGTCCTACTGGGAGATCGGAGTGCCTCGCTCCTTCAGACTCCCCTCAGCGGCCAGAAAGTTTTAAAGTAGTTTCATTTTTCATAAAGTCCCGTTACAAAGGGCAGAAATGATAATATATTATTGATGTCTTCAGCCCCAGTGGAGGCAGTTCTCTTGTATTAAAGCAACAGAGGCACACAAGATGCTTAATGACACTCGGTAGCCCAGCTTTGGCACTAATAATTTAACACACCTTAGCCCTCGGTTTGAATGCATTATTAGGTAGTGTTGTTTTGGTCATTTCTCTCTCATTTAGGGGTTAGTAATGTGTTCAAACCCCAAACACAAGGTATTTCAAGGACACCTTTTTATAAATTCTGACAAATAAACTGTGTTTCTGTCCTCAAAATAACTAGAAAAATACTCCAGTCAGGCATGTACAGTGTGTTTCTGACTCATATTCTTGGTAGAACGGCGTGTGAAGCCTTTTGGCTAATGTAAATAATTTCTAAAGCACCGTTAGCATATAAAGGTGCCCGTGAAGACCCGTTCTTTCAAAATAACATGCAGTTATCTGTGCTCAATGGACCGATGACCTCGTTGAGGGGACTTAATTGTGAAGTTTCTCAGAAAGACTCCACTAGCATCGACTTTCTTGCGTTCCAAGGTCAACGCCACCCTAACCAACTACTCTGTGTTGCCACGGTTACCACAGCAACTCTCGTCTTGGCAACAGCCTTGCGTCTGTTTAAAAGCCAAACGCTTTAGACGCTGTTATCTCATCAGGAGTAGTTTAGATGTAGAAGCAGCTCTGGAACACTTATTGTCGGTAATGGCAAAAGGGAACAATTATTCTGATGCTTTTAAATATGTTTGTCTGGAAAAGGCAAGAGCTTTTAAAAACATTATAGTGGATGTTCCTTTTGGGCATCTTATGTGCCTCTTTAATGCCCCAAAATGCTGTCTAGGTTAGCAACACACAAGGTTTTGAGGCATGGACAACAATGAGGTCTCATCAATAATGATGGTCCGCTGGCCTGGCATCAGTAGAGAATTATCATTTGCTTTACTTTGTCATTGATATATTTTATATTTTTTTGATCATGCACATGCATTTGTTATGCCTTGCAAACTTTTCTGTGGTTTTCTGTGGCATTTGTTTGTAAGTTCTGCATGTCAACTTTTCACATTGGTTAAAGTTCCCATGAAATTAAAATGGAAGTTTTTTTGGCTTTTAGTATGAATATGTTAGCCTTAAAGCTGCAGTCCGTAACTTTTTTGTTTAAAAATGATCCAAAATCAATTTTTGAGCAAGTACATAACCAGCCAGTGTTAAAAACTATCGCCTTTAGCTCGATTCACAACGGTAAGCTTGTAATAAAGTTATCTTTGCCAGGATGTGTATTTATATAAGCGCTCCATCTGTGAATAAGTGCATGTGCATTGGCTGAATCAACCATTCATTCATCTGTCTGTCTGCAGTATTTCATCAAATGCCAACTGATATCTGACACATCCTTCATTGGCATTGAGAGGTTTCTCTCTCAAAGAGAAAGAGGTAAAGACGGCTGTCTGTATCCAGACACATGTTGCGTTTCTTTCCAAGATGCGATTCCCTGGAGAGCCGCTGCCATTTTTTATAGTGTTATTAAGCTCTCTAAAGATGTGCTATTTCATTTCCTCTATGAATTTTTCTCATTTGTCCGTGATTGTAATCAGGTTTTCCGCAGCGAGGAGCGGTTGTGTTTCTGAGGCGCCATGCTCTCCATATCCTGCTGTCTGTGATCTGATTAGATGTCCATTAGTTCAGTTTCAATTAAGACTGGCTGGATGAGCCCCCTCTGCCCCCAGTGTAGATCACGTCACAAGTTAGAGACGCTCTATAATTTATCAAACAAATTGACTTGAACGACTGTGATTTTAGCTGGAAGTGCAACTGGGTCATTTCTATTAAGATGTATAAAGGGCATTCAGAAATATTCTGTTTGCTTAATTATATCTAGATTGTTTTATTCAGCATCATTTGATAATCATATTGCTGTGATCACCAGTAGAAAATCTTTAAACATGCCTTTAAACATAAAGCTTTCTGCAAGTGATAATGGTGCAATGTTAATTTCATCAGACAAATAGCGCTGAGTTTTAAGGCAATTTCTATAATAAGCCTAATTTGAATGAGGCATGTTTTTGCTGAAAAGAATGACACTGATTTCACTTAATATGCATGGTAAAGCACTATACCAGTGATATTTGATATTAGGTGAACAAATATTAATATATATATTTTTTATTAGTATTATTACAGCTTTTATTATATTTAGCATTAGTATAAGTTTGATTTTAATAGATTTAAGTTATTCAAAGGAAGTTGACAGTCATCCATCATTGAAAACCGTAATTGTTCAAAGACTCTTTATTTTTTTCCAGATCTTCACACGCTATGGAAAATGCTACACCTTCAATTCTGGACAGGACGGGCGGCCACTGCTGATCACCATGAAGGGAGGGATGGGAAATGGGCTGGAGCTGATGCTGGATATCCAGCAGGACGAGTATCTGCCTGTGTGGGGAGAGACTGGTACGTCTCATTAACCCTAGTAATCTCATGTTTCTTCTCAGTTTTAGATGAGATCCCATAATATTAACCAACAATTGCTTCATTTGCGTCTGATTTTATTTCTCCTAAAGAACTGTAGGAGAAACATCTGAGACAAAGCTGGATCCATTCAGTCTTCTGAGGAATGAAAGATCCAGCAGATCTCTTTTTTTTACACTCTTGATTCCCAAGAGGAATCCACACTCAAATGATGCCAGCTGAAACTCTTGGGATTCCACCTATTCCTCCAGGCAGATTTGCATGAAATCAGCATTACCTGAGCCGTCTAAATGTCAGTAATCTGCTTATGAGGGTTTAGTTTAGGATTATTCTGTGTTTGCTAGACTGGCGCTCCGTCTTTATTAATAATCAACAGTAGTGCTGAGCGGTATGACCAAAGAATTATACCACGGTATTTTTCAAAATTATACCGGTTTCACGGTACATGACGGTATTTTTTTTTTCATGCATGACCGGGTGTTAACCATATTTTCTACTGATTGAGAGAGGAGTAACACATACAGCTGTTCCCTCACCACAGAGCAACAGTGAAAAGTGACCCCTTTCAAACAGTGTCACGTTCCGAACGTTGTTTAAGCAACATACACCGGTATTGCGGTATTTTAAAAATTCATATCATAACAAAAATAAACACCGGTATTCGGTATGAACCGGTATACCGCCCAGCACTAATCAACAGGTTAAACCAGATGGACTGTGAATGAACAGTTCATGTCACAAAGCTCACCGCAAGGGATAGAATCAATTCAAATCCATAAAAATGCTGCTAGCGGACATAGAACGAATGCTCATTTCGATTCGCAATTGATTTCAATGCAGTGTGATGTCAGCATGTTATTAATATTGGCACACACATAGGCTAATAAGTCTTTTTTATTAGATTAAACTGTTTGTCTTGACTCTTCCACCATATTGAATGGGTTTTCACTGAGCTTACTGTAGTTCATTCTGGGATTGCAACAATGACGCAAACAAAGAATTTGGCCAAAATTAGTTATTACAATTATGCCTATAATGCCTTAAAATGCTAAGTAGGGAGCTCATTAGGTTTTGGAGCAGAGCTGTAGACTGCCATAAAAACCAGATGTACACTCAGCAGAACAGTTTATCAGACTGAACAAGCACGACACCGCAGTAAACAACAACAGCAGCCGTTGGACATGTTTGCCAGCAGAAGGTCAGAATGCTGTGAGGAGAAAATGTCTGTGACCTTTCCAGTAAAGTTCAATCAGTTTTGAGCACTCAGAATGCAGAAGGTGACGTCAGGCCGGATCCTATTGATCAGAAAACAGCAAATACACAAACACGCATTACAGCTGCAAGCCAATTACAAGTGATGCTATACGTCCAGAAGTGAACCTCACTCGCATCTGTCTCTCAGCGGGACCAGTTTAACCTCTCTACGCCTCCGTAATTGAAAAGAGAGAGGGGGTACCCTGCACACCTGCCTGTGTCGACACCCGACATTTACCGAGATTGTTTTTATAATGCTGTGATTTCCCGAAGAGTTCTGCTTGTGCTCCTTCAAATTTCTTCAAACGCTAGGTGCACTCGAAGGTCTCCGGTATCTAATCACATCCTCCAAGCAGCTCTCTGGTTACTCGGGTGAACGCTGTCCTGAAATCTCTTCCACAGCTGACTGGATTTCTCTGTAATTACAGAGCAGCTGTCTCAAAGTCTTGACAATGCCAGACTCATCCAGAAACTCTGTACTGCACTGTTTCTCTCGAAGGCTTTTCACACTACGCTTAACCCTGGGTTAATCCATGTGTCACACTTTCGAAAGGGGGTTAGCATTACTTTTAACCCTGGGTCATAAAACCCTGCTGACCCTGAATTATACCAAAGTGGTACAAAATGAAATTAGAGTGCTAGCATATTTTGGCAAGACTTTAAATGAAAGGTTTAAATGGAACAAATCACAGACTTTTAGACAAATGGTTGTTATCCCAGGCTGAATGCTCTTCTCACCCTGTACTTGTCCAGTCTTGTAAATATGCAAATAAGAACATTCGTCCAGAGTTTACCATGTAAAATCCTGAAGCCTGTCTAGTCAGGATTAAAGTAACAAACCTGGGATTGAGTTTAACAAGGCCTGGTTTTGATAGTGGTTTGTTCTGTCTGAGTGCTGGATGATGCTCTAGATGATCTGCTAATATACAATTCATGAAACGGCATCTGTGAGTTTACTGTGGCCGGCTGCATCATCTCCCTCATGTTGTTCTGTTTGTGTGATAATTGTTATTAAGCAAATGTTTAAAAGACAAAAAATGGTGATACAGCAGGTGGGAGACATCCGTAACTCCTCTGTGTGCTCATAGAGGATATGCTTGGAAACTGCATTTGTAACTATAGTCATTAGTTGTGTCACATGTGGACTGCTCTGTGGACCATGTGAAAATCCAGCAGGCTGTGGAAGAAAGCCAGCATTTAGACTGTAATGTACTGATTTAAAGTATTTAAATGACGCCGGGCAGTGTCAGACACAGCCTATAATCTGCGCTAACACTGATGTTTGCTTAGCTGTCCATAGAGACGTGTCTCTAAACCTCAGGATTATTCCTGTTTACGGTCTGAGGATGGTACATGGCTAAATGTCAAAACATTAGACGGGAAGCTGTTTGAAATGTCTTGAGACTAGTGTATAAACATCACTTTTCCTGTCAGTGTAGCTGCTTTTTAATGTTTGTTTCTGGCTTGTTCTGTTTTTATATTGTCTGATGTCTTTCTCATTTTGAAAATTGTCGATTTCCTGTTTGTTCATTTGTGTTGTGCATATAATCTGCCTGCAGATGTTTGAACTCAACCTCATTTGTTGCATTATTCACAATGTTTTACCACAATTGTTATGTATTTTTATGGTCTTATATACCGTTCGTATTCATATTGGATGTGGGACATTCTTAATTCCTTTCTGAGACTTTGGGACCAAGTGGGAAGATAACGTAAAAAGAACGATAATGGTAGGCTTGTATTTGTGTAGGTGTACAATTATCAACAAAACTATTCACGTTTACTTAAAGTGAAGTCTTATTGTCGTAGTGGAGAAACGTTTTTGATTTAATTTTTCACGTCCTAGTTTGATTGTTGTTGGTTATATTTGTAACAGTAATATTTACAATCATCTGTTCTTTGAAGTTGACCTGGTTTGTAGCATTATTGCATTGATTTATTGTTATAGGCACATTTTTATGTCATGTATTCCAGGACCAGTTTTTGTAGTCATGCTTTTGGGTTCTAAGTTTAGATTAATTTGGTTTAATTAGCGGTGTTTGCTAAGGAAGGTGTCGTTATTACTGTTGCTCCTATTTGGAATTGGGGAACAAACACCAGTGACATTTTTTTCATCCACTGTCATGATCTTCTTTTACTTTTTGTATAAAAAAAGACTCTTGGGTTCAACTTGAGACAGTTTGATATTGTGATATATACGCTGAAAGCACAGCCCATATGACCTGATACCATCTGTTCTTCTGAGACACCTGCATTGAGTACATGTCCCAGTCTTCACGTCTCTTTTTCTCTCTCACAGATGAGACGTCTTTCGAGGCGGGAATCAAAGTCCAGATCCACACGCAGGATGAACCGCCTTTCATCGATCAGCTGGGATTCGGAGTGGCTCCAGGCTTCCAGACGTTCGTCTCCTGCCAAGAACAGCGGGTACCAAATCATTGTTCTTTTTGTAAATTTCTTAATGCTGGACTCGTCTCAAAACACACAGGACTGCGATTGTGTCAGTCTGTTGTTTAAGTGCTTGGTTTTGGTTTCTGCAGCTGCTTTTTTTTAATGTATGTTTGTTTTTAATACTTTAATGTGGAGGAACACACTCCATTTGTGAAAGTTCTGATTGGCATTCTGACATTATTTTAAAGCCAATGAAGCACAGCTTCAGCCTTAATTCTCATATATATATATATATAGAGAGAGAGAGAGAGAGAGAGTATTCATATTGTGTGTGTATATATATATACATATATATATATATATATAGTATAGTATTCATTCATCTTGGTAGTAGTAACTGCCTTTAATACTGATTTAAATTACAAATCATTAACAGTATAACAGTAATTTTTGGGAATAATGGGACGTTCACATTTTGGCAATGACAGTGTGTGGTGAATATGTGCTTAATCGTAATGAATCAGAATGATCTTTATTCGCAGAATGTTTGCAAACACAAGGAATTTGTTGTGGGTTTTTTAGGAGCTCTTAGTACATGCATATATGACGAGAACAGAAGGAACATTGAAATAAGTAAGCCTAAGGAAAAAACTAAAAATAATAATAAATATGTGGCATACATCTGGAACAGAAGATTTTTGTACAGATTTGTGCATTATTTACTGTATATACAGCTGTACAAATAAAAATATGTATATATATTAGACATATTTATATATAATATAAAATATAATAATATTAATATATAAATGTATATACATGTAAATATTTTCAAAATATATACTGTATGTGTGTGTATTTATATATACATAATAATTAAACACTACACATACATATATTATGTAAACAAAAACTTTTATTTTTGACAGCACTAGTAATAAAAATGTGTATGTATTTACATAATACTTGAGAGAGAGGCAATAATTAGTTTTTAAGAAATGAATTGCAGAAGATAGGTGGTAATTTCTGTGTTAACTGTTTAAGCTGGAGATGGCGTGGGGGGAGACTGTTTTTATGCCTAGATGTTCTAGTGCACAGAGATCTGTAGCGTCTGCCTGAGGGGAGAAGTGCAAACAGGTTGTGTCCGGGGTGAGAGGGGTCTGTGATG